GTTTTGCATTGACTAAAGAATTACCTCTTTATATTGTTTTATGTAAAACGTGACTGATGTTACTTTATTTAAACTAATTAATGTCTATTCCAATAAAAATAAGAACCAGCCTGCATATTCAATTTGTTAAAGTTATTACTTTAAACATAGTTTGTATACAGACATTTTATTATTATGTAAAACTAAACCACGGTCGCTTATAACTTACTGGAGATACTTAAAAACACTTTGAATACACAATAAAATCATCTTTGTATGGTAGAATAATCGCTACCACTTACAGATGACAATAATAATTGATATAACTGATCATTTAGCCTCAACCTTGGCTCCGTTGGTTCACGTAGTTGTGTGGTTATTGTGGAAGTCTTGTGTTCTATAAGAAGATTACACACTCATTACTTAGTCATTTTAAGATCTGTGACTTTGAAATTAACGAAGATAAATAGGTATTAGGCTTAACAGAGATTTAGAGTCCATACAATACATATTTTTTTTCACCTCCTCAATGGGCTGTTCTTTCTTACCAAATAAGTGTATTACTCCGCAAGAAAACGAAGTCATTAATGTCTCTTATATTTCAGTTAGTCTTAGTCGACTAGTTTATACATGATTATAAAAAAAATGACTGTATCTGAACGATTTCCTGTAGTTAAATAAAAACAACTTGTACCTAAACCTTCTAAACCTTTACTTTACATCGCGACAAAATGAGGGTAGATTTGCGAATTAATTAATCTACCCACGTGGCACTGTTTGCAACGTCAACTCCTTAAATGATTGCTAGATTATTGTATGAGTCAGTATGTTAGAGAAATATGCCACAATACATGTAGACGTAAAATAAATATTGCAGTAATAATATGTAATACAAATAATGCGTTCCAATATTTACTTAATAGAAGATATTTCCTTGTTTTGAATCATTAAGGTTGCTTCATATTATAGTTACATGACTCTGATTACGTCTAAGTACGGAATTGACATTAAAATAATATAGGTCAATCCGTACTTTATTATACATGAAATAGAAAATTTCTCGACAGTACGATAATGGACTTTAAGCTGTCTGTTGATATGGAAGTTAGCTCAGGAGTTGGATATAACTCTTATTTCCATACATTTCTTTTTCACGATTTTATAAAGACTAAATTTAAAACAAACTATAGAATAACTCTATAAACTAATACATTTATAGTTCAAGCTACACGATTCCTATAATTGTTGGCTTATTTGCAATGTAAGGAAGTAAAACGAAAAATATGACTTGGATGTATGAAGTTAGGATTATGGTAGATGAAATTTTAAGAAAGTGAAATAAACTTACGGACATAACCTCAGGGCGGCCAATCGTAAGGTGAGGGTGAATATCGTGGGTGAAATTGCTTAGGAATATACCGTAGGGTAGATGTACTTAATTTAGGAATAGAATTGTTATCGGTACATTACAGGTTTATCGTCTTCCATATTTTGTCTTTAACTTAAAAATGATCAACACCCACAACTTATTTACGGGACTTTACTAAAAGTAAAATTTTATACTACATGATTTTCTAAAATTGGTTTCATTATCTAAATAAAGAAAATTAACATCTCAATTCGGAAAGTCAGTGCAAACCTTACTCACGTGAAAACGGAAAACGTATCACTATGCGCTATGTTACTATCGCAAACTTTTTGAAGTTATACTTTTGGCGCGTTAGGGAAAAATGATGAGAGTAAGTTTTTCCGATGCGTGCGCACACAAGATTTTTATCGTATTACGCTAAAGAAGAACTTCTAACGCGTGTACATAAGTAAACACACATTTTTTTTAAATACATACATTAATTCAAACCCAGTGACGCTATAAACTTTATGAGTAAATTAAAATTTTTGTTTCTGTTATAAACGTTGCTCTTAAGATTAAATGAATGATTACTATTTGTAGAAAGTACGAAACAAATTCCGTAAGGATCCATAGATGTTGAAGAGACAATCCAAAGCTAAAGATAAAATTGTTTATAGTGAAAATTAATCATGTAAGTAGTGTGGCGATTGCAAGTGTTTTGTTTCTCGCGCTAATCAATAAACCAGAGTTCTAGTAAAATATATTTAGGAAACATTTGACATTGGGAGCTTATTACCGTCGAAGTGTTTATGTTATGAAACAATTTATGTATTGTTAGTGTTGCGAATGACGCTAGATGACCTCCTGCAAGGTTGCGCCGACACTTCCCTGTGTACTCAATCGTTTACTGCCATGTATTATATGATTGTGTAGATCATAAATGTACATAGCGTGTGATAATACTTTGTGTATGTGTATTAGTGATAAGAACACAACACAACTTTGTATTAAGACTAGAAACACAAGTAAGACACGAAATATTCAAGTGTGTCTTGCAACGAATTTATATACATTAAATATTTTTGAACATGTCGCAAATAATGTTATTCGTACATGAAACACACATATTATGGAATACTGTATGTTTTTTATTTAATACCATGTATAGTTATTGGTTTTATATACTCAAACATATTCTTATCGCTCTTTTATTTAATTACTTTGCCGTCTTATCTTATAATACTAACTTAAAGACATCTTTAGGACATTGAAGGTGTACTGAAATGCCCTTGTATTGGTAAACACGGAAAAGTCAGAATTGGCGAAAGGTCTCATTGTATAATGAAAAGATTATATTATTATAATGTGTATCAGCAGGAAGTGATTCGCTCTCAGAAGGTTGTGTAGATAACAATTGAGAAGCTAATAATTTTTATTACAAGCTGTTTCAAAAGTTTTATATAAATTTTAATTCGAATAAACAATAAACATTCAAAGATTCAGACTTTTTTGAAAGGGTAAAAGAATTTAATCTAAATTGGGAAATATCATTTAAATTTAATTGTTGGTCCATGATCTATTATTTGTAATAAAAACTGAGTATTTCAAAGTTATCGAAAATATATAAGAATGAGTCATATGATGGATAGGTCGTCCAAGACAGTGATTAACCGCAAAGGGTTTGTAAACAACAGGTAGGGGTCGTGCTCACCTGCGCCCGCGCCACTGACATTGCGAGATAAGATACGTATATTATTTTGTCACCACTATCGGCCCAATGTCACAGTGACCTTAATGACACGAATGACGACGCGTCAGAGCGATCGTCGCCGCTCTGACCTTGCAATATTTATCTAATCTTCCGTTCGCGAAAATGCTGTTAGTGTTATTATGTATGTTAATGTTACATACATTGTGGTCATTTGAATCTTAAAACATCAGTGTATTATTTTAACAATGTGTCTTCACATAAAACCTTAGTTTTAGTTTATAAGAATAATATATTATGTATATTTAGTTGATGTCTTAATAGTGATAGGTTCACTATCTCTTGAGTGACTAGAAGATTTACTGGTATTTCTCTTATAAACGATTATTTCTTCCGATATCTCTTCCTGCCAGTTTCTGAACTAGTAAATGATTTTTAAAACAAATAAAACAGACTAATCGGCGGGATCTTCTTCGAAATTTGATCGCTAAAAGAAAACATTATCACTATTTGAAATAAATTATTGTAAGGTGGGACAGTTCGGGTGTATTGTGCCATCGCCTCGAGGCGGATGCAACCAGCACTGTTACGCTAAGTCAAGTCGGCGTAACATGCTCGTCAAAAATCATTTCGCAGTTTCACATGTAGATAAGGACAATGTTTCTCTTTCATTCTATTTTTTGTAATTGAGGTTTTTATCAATATAAAAAAAAATATACTGGACATTTAAAACACTTTACGCGGTCTGTTTTGAGACGTAATTTACTGACCAAAAGTTTAAAACACAATTTACAGAAAATCAGTCAGATCACTGGCGACGTCCGACGAGTAATTACGAACTGGCAATTCGCCAAAAGTCCGACCGCCAGGTGTTTTGTTGTGACAACAAGCGGCTCGTTTGCTCCTGGTTTCCCCGTAACACGCCGTACTGACTGCACGTATGCTCGCGTGTAACGTGTTACATTACACCTCGTAACGTTGGTCAGTTCCCACCTTTAGCAAGTCAAGTCAAAGTCAAAAATCATTTATTCATGTAGATAACACAATGTACACTTATGAACGTCAAGAAAAGAAATATACATTAAATGCTTCTAATTTTACATTTACTGCCAGTTCTCAAATCAAGGGCGTAGAACGGAAGAGAAGAACTGGCAATAAACTCTCCGCAGTTTTTTGTTTTACACAACGTTTGTAAGGAGCTGCAACTACTACACAATGTTCCACATGACATCTTAAGTAATAAATAATAATAAAATAAATTAAAAACAAAGATGTGTCCTCTATGTGGTGATTAGGAGCACGCATTTACATTCTCGTGGGAACAACACGCAAAGACATAGTCAAATTAACTAACATCACCGCATACACGAATTCAAGTACGACCAGTCACCACAAGTTCACGTATCCGTCCACGAGTATGACGCATGGCCAGCCATCGGCCCCCTGGCCATATTTTAGGGAGAAAGACAACTCGACGCATGGACGCCGCCACAAGCAATGATATTTAAGCGAGTATGACGATTCTTCAAATGTGCACTTGGCTACATAAGAAAATAATAATAATCCTGAGTTAGCTAATAACTTAGTTTTCCATTTTTATAAGTATTATCATAACGTATTAACCTGTTTATGACTGTATGACTGGTTCATGGACGAACAGCCTAATCCACAAAGGCTAATTTTAATATTTCAAGCAATGTATGAGCAAAACATCCTATGTCGACAGACAACCTGACCAAAGTGGTTGCTAATAAATTATTATTTTCGCTATGTAAATTAAATTTAAGAATGCTACTGTTAAATAAAAATAGCATGTAAGTTAAAAAGGTCAGTGAATAAAGGGCTTTTATTATTATATTATTATTATTATGAGCAAAACATCCACGAAAGTAGGCATTTCGATATTCCATCCCTAGATGGATAAACAATGTATAGCGCTTAGCGCTGTTACCCGCTAACACGTCATTTGTTGAGTTGCATTGATTCCGCACTATATGGTTCCCAATATTTGTCTATTGGGTTATCTTTCCATTCGGTTAATTTGAAAACTGTAAAATACTAAAATGTTGGTAAAGTAAAAAATTGCAAATACAGAAGACCGCTACTTCAGTATTTTTCTTTACCCTTATGCCAACCAAAATATTGTTAGTGTAGGAAAAAATGTATTTAAATTCGTATGCAATTTACACATTTACAAGAACAACCAATTAATAACTTTTTTGCATATTTCAATACAACAAATCCTTGAAAATAATATCTTATCTTCTTGACCATTATTCTGATTTGTATACGGTTATATGTATAACATAATATCGATTAATAAAGTATTATGCATGTTATAAAAGCGACCTTCATCAGTTATCGTCATCACCCGGAAATTACTTACAGGTAAACTGTCTGCTCTGTATAGTTTTCCCAAGCAGGAAGTACATAAATGCATCAAATATGCAATAAATAGACTCATTACTGTATGGCCATGTTTGACTAATTTGAGGTTTGGTTATCCACTTTAAGGGTTTATAATTAGCAGAAAAAAAAACAACTTTTGGTCTCCTTTTTCGAATGACATTTCTAAAGTCACCTTAAGTAAACATTTGAAAAATACACTTTGCAAAGTTTGAGCTAAATATTTAAAACGAATTGAATAGGTAAACTTAGCATATAACATCAATACCGAATACATTTTAAAATTAAGACGAAATAACTTACCTAAATCAGGAATGGAGCTGGACGGCTCTTCGAAGAGCGAAGGCTTGTGGATACGCGGTGGTGGCGGCGGTGGCGGAGGAGGTCGCATGCACTGGATGACCGACTGAACAGGCGGCGGTGGCGCTGGCGGCATCAGACACGGCGCTCGAAATTCCTTGCCAGGTGGCGCCGGGAGTTCCAGCCGTCTCCCGCCACCCATCATCTCCATCTCGTAAGGATCCATTGGCTCGCGCTTGGGCGACAACTTTGGATAACACTGCATTGTTTATAAACTTATCACAAAAGTTCAATGTTTATAAAAGTTTTCAAAATTTCCAAATAAATATTGTAGACACAAAAAAGGCATCGAAAACGTTCATATGTATTTAAAATAATTATTTATTAGATCGCGATAGGCGCGTGCAGCGAGTCGTTGCGGCTTAGCGCCGCTCCACTCGCGAGACTCGTTCGCTCGCCGCGACCAACTTTCTCTCACTGGCGTGGCAGAGCCCGCGGCTGGACGAAAGTGAATCTGCAGCGCGCCCCCGCACCCTCGCAGCCCTCGAGCCGCGCTGCATCGCCCGCCCAGCGCCCTCCGACACGACCACTGCTCCACCTCAACTTTAACCTTACTCTCACCTCTTGAGTGCAACGCTCCAGGTAGGTACCTTATTAATTTTCATCCGTACTCATTAAAAATTCCCGCACTAGAGAAAAAATCTTAAGTCTCTCATAAAATTAAATATGAAGCTATACCTGATTTTAGATATTTTATTTATATGTAAAAACATAAAAGTGCAAGCAAGCAAAGTTTGATTTGTTTGGACCTGTAAAAATGTAATTGAAATCATGTACTACATAGTCAGCATAACATATTTCTTCAAATGTTTTAAGTATAATATATTAATAACAAACCTTCACATATATTTTGCTACTTCCGTAATTCAATGACACACTGAACAGTTAATCTTAGATGTTATATATTCTGACGTCATTGAACAAATTATAAATACAAAATCGTCAATTTTCTGTCAGAATTTTTGGTAAGCATTTTTATAAGGACGATTTAAGAATAAAATAAAATAAGCTCTTATTATATAGGTACTCATTTATTCTAATTTTCAGATGGACGTGACGTTAAGTGAAGCTCTTTGCACATTCTATGGTACATAGTATTGACGAATGATGTTTAACTAAAAGTTTTTAAAAAAAAACGCTGTTTGTAGGTACATACAATATTATATGAATTATATGTAACTTCCATATCGAATCCCGAGATGACTGAGGCACGCATACTGATAAGTGATAGTCACCGATAAGGTTTTGTAGATAGCTCAGACGGGACGTGACGGAAAATTATGGGTTTTAAATATAAAACAACCAAAAGAAGATAGTACACGGAATAATTTATAATCATTCCATCAGATAGTCTTCGATTCCTAGAATTAATTTCAATATAACTTAATTAACACGTTGATGTCACAATTATATGTGTATAAGCCAGTTATTTATTCTATAAAATATATAATTTATTTTCAGGTAATTGTATCGCATTATATTAATATAATAAAACACTGAACACTTTAAGAAAAAATAATGTGATTCATAGCGGCCCTTTCTCTAATACGTAATTTCTGCCAGCCAACTCTAATTACATATGACTTACTCAGAACTCCTATTGTTAAACTATGAAAAAAACTGACTTTGGATTTAGGTATCCTAAAGAACTGTTTTATAGTCTCACAGCTCAAATTAGGAAAGTAGCTTAAAGTTGGGAAAACATCAGGCGGGGTATGTTGCCAATTCCTGTACATGGAGGTGGTCGGGTAGGATGGGTGTGGAGGGACGTGCACTTCGCAAGGCGTGTTGATCAGGTCACTGCCACCGGCGGCTCACGGTCGAGACCAATGTTCACATCTATTTTGGCGACGGGTCTCACTGAAACGTATTTATTACTATTAAAAATGCAACGCGATATAGATAAGTTTTTTACTAACAGTCAGATATATATATTATATATCTGATTAACATTGTAACTTAGTTGATCAGAGAAAGTTGCAAAATATAATATTATTTCATGGTAAAAAGTCAAGGGAATGAAGGAAAGGGAAGTCTAGGAACTCCATCTGACTTGTCATTAGATTAATCCGTTGTTTTACACATGATAAACATTTATTATATTATGTTGTTAGTAATTGTATGAATATTTTTAAGTATATATCTAGACACATACATAATCAAAGATTTTATTCAAAACTTTGTGAAACAAACATCGATCTTTTATAATATAAATGTATATGATCTTTTATAATAATGTAATAAATATAAATTTATATTTATTACTTTCAAAAGATAGTTTATTTAAATAATTATTTTATTAATTACGAGCGGCGTTATTTTGGCATTTTTTTTTAATATTCTGGAAATAAATAGAGCTCATGTTACTCGGAGATAACTTAGCGTTGTATAAAAAAATTAAAAATTTTGTCCAGTACTTTTTGAGGTTTTTGTTAGAAACATACAAAAACACAAATCTTTGCTCTAATATTCGTATAGAAAAATTATTAAAGATGACGTTAAATCTGTTTACATAGCTAATATTAAGATACATTTTATTTTTTCAGTACTGAAATTAATATCCTTATAAACATTAATATAATATCCAGGGGAAGAAATGCATGTCTAGCCAGTGCATATCGATCGACGGAGGTCGCGACGGCGACTGCTGAATCAGGACGCACTTACACCGTTATCTATTTAATATTCGTATTAAATAATTTCTAGAATGTTTCTATCTAACCATTATTCAAAAACAATCAGTTTAATTTAACTTAAATTGGAATTGTATCTGATAGTTGCCACGTCTTGTATGTAAGCAACGGAAACAGTTATTAAAGATTAACAACTGCAATTATTAACATAAGTTTTATGAGAACAAGCAAAATTCCATTTCGAAAGTACATCAACTAAAACCTTTTTTCTACGTATAAAAAATTATTATGGTTTTCGATAATAATACTTTTTATAAAATTTGTTTCACATCTGCGTGACTATATTGATAAGATTGTGGTCATTATCGATAAAATGTACCGAATTTTTAGTTAAACTCATGAATAATTAGTAGTCTCAAGTTCAAGTTCACACGCAATTGTTAGCATGAAATAAGTATAAAGTTCATGGCTAAGGTATATATTATGTGGGTCAAACTTACAATCAAGTTTAAATGCTTTGCGTGTAAAGGAGTTTTAGTATTTTAAATAGAAAAGCAAATGTTGCTGATGATAATCTAAGTCCTTGTATAGAGTTTACTTGTAGACATTCTCTTGCCTTATCTATTACAGATGTTACGTAACATGTTATACTAATAAATTAGACCATGTCGAATATATTGCGAAGTCTAATATATTGCCACTAAAGTATAAGTCCATATTATATTAGACACATTGCACTTAATATAGTGGACAAAAAGCACCCTACATGCTTACTATGCATAATATGTCACAAAATGAATATCGAAGAAAATTTTATTGAACTATTGGGGCACGTCGGTGTAAGTGCAATACACAAGCGCGATGCATAAGATTGTATCTGTTGCGCATGCGGCCCGTAGACACCCTCGCCGTCTGCAGCTCGTGTGTCCTCGTGCCCTTCCCAACCGACTTTCACTCCCGAAATCCGGACAGATAAAAACAACCCATAGACACGCAACTAGAATATCGAACAGTGCTAGAGTGTGATTGAATATATTAATTGTTAAGTGGTTTACGTATAAAAATACATTCTTATTGCGATGTTTTGTTTTCCATTTCATTAAATCTGTAGATTTGTATTATAACTTGTTAAGTTGTTATAAGAAATTATAAGTACATATGTACTTATATAAACATGGTAAACTTTATTAAAAATTGTTACAAATTATACTACGACAGTATCTGTAAACGTAATAGATGCTAGAAATACAAATGTTTTCATAATATAATTGAAATGTACAAATTCCTTAGGGTTATTACATTTAAATACCTAGTGTATAGCAATTAATATCAATAAACCAAGTTCAATGGATGAATTCAGTTGAACTTAGAATATAGATCGCGAGTGTTTCAAGCCTTGAAGACTGCAGCAGTGGAATGCCCTTGCAAGGGTATCTCAATGTCGGACTTTAGGTGCCAGTCGTCGCCCTCATGCCCCCTCCGCGACCCCGCCCCTCGCCCCATAACTTACCTCTTTTAACTGGATGCATCTGAGTAAATAAACAATTGAGTTTGACCTTTAATGCATGCTGCACGAAGTGTTTGACTTAGTGACCAACGTAACATCGTAATTAAGTATAAGGGACACGGTTACTGGCGAAGGATGAATTTAAATAATTTTTTTTAGAATAACCAGCGTTTGTGTTATGTCTCACTCGCATCAAAGGAATGTTAATATTGTATAAAACCACCACCACGGGATATTCTAAAACTCGGTTAAATATATAGAATGTAAATTTAATAACAAAAAATATTTTACAATGACCACCAAATACGGTAGGTTTTTCATAATTTAAATATCACCAACTTTTAATTAAACGTGGATGCTATTTTGTGTTTATTTTTCGTTTTATCATTATTATGTTAGTAGAATTGTACGAACAAACAATTTTATCCCAGTATTAGGCGACAAGTACAAAACATGTGTCATCAAGACTGAAGAAAGGTTATATTTTTTTTCTAAGAAGAAGTACAATTAAAGGGAACCAGTTCTATACATAAGAGGTACTGCAGTTAAATTTTTACAAAACCTTGATGGGCTTCGAGGGGAAGGTAGGGAGAGGGGCGTGGTATTCAGCACGCGCCGAGGTTGACTGCCGTTGACACTGCCCGAGGACACGTTGTCAAGGTCGATTTGCCCAAAACGCTCCAATATTTCATTTTGTCAAATGGCCATGAAACAACTTTTTGGATACCCTTAAAAAAGCCTCATCTGCGCCTACTCACTCATTACAGCTTAATGCTTGAGTTAATAAGCGTTTTGCTTATTCATTGTATTTAACATCGATTCGATTACCAGCGAAATAACGTTAATGTTTTGTAGGCACAGAAAACTGTTAATTTGTTATTACTATAGTACCTCTTAAGAAATATAGAATTGGCTATTGATAAAACTTCAATAAAACAAAGGCTGACATTGCGAGGGTCCTTACACTGCGGTCGAAGGAGTTCAAGGCTTATACTACAATATATTAATTGCTATCAACTTTCGCTAAGAAAACAATACTATCCGCTAGCAATGAAATAAATCATT